GTAATCCCACATGCCTGCGATCAGACAGTTCGGAAGCGTTTCTGGCGCGCGTGGGACGGGTCCAGATCTGTTCCCCCCTAAGGTTTGATCAGATAGTCACGATTAAACGCGATGAACGGTCCCTTTTTAAATGCGATCGGACATTCGAGATCAAATAGCAATAAACGGTGCAGATTCATTTCTTCTTTAAACGGGATCGGACGGTCGAGATCAAATGCGATATTTTAAGCGAGACGGGTATAAATATCTCGCATCACACCGAACCTAAAGTCTAGCCGCGAGCCTCCTGCTAGAGAAAAAGAACCAATAGTCAAAGAACAGAGCCGACCACCGCTCGTCACCGCGCTGGAGCCACCTCCGACCGTTAAAAAAATATAAAAATTCTCTTATCCACTCGAAATTTGATTTCGAGCACCCCCATAGCTAAATCATAGTAAAAAGAACAGCGGATGAGCCGAAAATTGCGTGCAAAGCTCGACAGCACTGTCGCGGGCAAAACACGAAACTGCCTCCGATGAGCCCCTTCCTGTTTTCCGTTTCATGTGATTTTTCTACCATTGTGTTCACCATTATGTTTTTTATAGGTTGACCAAAGAAAAATGCCCAGCCGCGAAGGTAAACCGGCGAAACCGCCATACCGAAAAATTTTACCTCCGATAGGTTTTTGTTTTTTGACTTTTTTCGACCAACTGATACCCTCTAACGTGTTTTCTCGCAGGAATGGGTATAAAACTGGCCAAAACTGACCGAAAACGGCCAGGCTGAGGTAAACCCCCTTCACCGGAGCACGGCAGTACCGCCGTGCCGAAATTTTGAAATTGGTCGTAAAAGATTTTTAACACCGATTTGAGTTTTTTGGGTATTTTTAGGTACGTGAAATATATTTTAATCTTCGCAGAAAAATTCAGGAAATACGGGGACCGCCAATAGGGGCAATAGAAAATTTAATGTTTCGGACACCGATTCGGGTAAGAATCTCTCACCTTATTTTTTATTATGGAATTGAAGCTTAATAATTGGTAATATGATATTTTGTGTAATTTAGAAAACTTTTAGAATAATTACAGGTTACCAATAGAGCTGGAAATTGGTTAGTTATTTATTTGTTATCATGTTTAACTGATTATTGAATTTACAGTCTTAAATATATGATGATATACTAGAATGGTTAAATTATTCAATTGTACTTTCTTGATATATATATTGTTTGTCTTCTGCACTTTATTTATTACTTTATTTACTTTTAAATTCCGGGTTTTTACAATACTTTTAAATTTTTATTTTTTGAATTAATTTCTATTTATATATGTACTTATTTATAAAAAAAAAATAGATGCATTTATAGAATAATCAATCACAAATAATAATAATTATATAGAAAATATTAAAAATTATTTTAAAATTTTCAAACCCTATTATTATTTTTACTGTTATTTAATTTAAACATAAAACTGTTATAAAGTTTTTTTTTTTTTGTTTGCTAGAAGTATCCTTGATTACTTGCATTTAAAGTTTACCATGCAAACATAAACATTATGTTAAGAGGATTTCATGAAAATCTCGTGTGGTCATGAGAGATTTAATCCACAAAAATTTCAGAAAAAATACATTATTTAAAGTAAAAACTACAGTCAATATAAAATTTAGTATTGTCATTTATTAATAATTTTTAAATAATAAAAATAAATATTGATTTGATAATAATTTAATAATGTTAAGAAAATTAAATAAAAATATTATCTTATTTTATTTTCAAAATCTTAAATTAATTCAACATAAAACTAATATAAGTGAATTAAAAATGTCATTTACCTAAATCAGTACAAATACATTTAGAAGTAACTATTGTTAGGCTTTAATTTTTCATTTACCATAAGCCGAAAGCAAACTTTAATTGTAACTAAAACTAATCTTTTATGCATTTAGTTGAACTTATTTTTTTTCATACCAAAAATGTATTTAGGATACGTTTTATAACGATTATAACTTATGTTATGAATTTTAAAAGTACTGTCACGATAATTATTAAGTAAAAATATGTTTAATAAAAAGTATTTAGATGTTAAAATCAAAAGTAGAGAGCGGCCAGAGGATAGGCTGCCGGCAAGCAACAGAAAACAGATAATGACCTACAGAGAGCAAGCAACGAGCGACTGGCGGATGACAGCTAGTGGTGGCTGACTAGCTCAGGGAACTGCATAGCTAAGGGAATGGCCAACTGACGGCAGGCAATAGCCAGCTGGTGGCAAAGGATGCCCAGCAAGCAAAGGGTGGTGACTAACTGGCAGCAGAGGACTACCGTAGGCAGTCATCAGGCAATATAGGCCGGTGGCCAATAGGCAGCCGGTGACTGAGGGCGACAGGCAGCTAGCAGCAGAGATCAGTCATTGAACAGCAGGTTGTAGTGGATAGATAACAATAACAATAACAATAATAGAAGAAAATAAAAAATAGAAGAATATATAAATTTTTAATTAAATATAATTTTGTAACAAAAATATTAACAGCCAAAATTATTTTTCAAAAATTATTGATTTTAACTTGTATGTTTAGACGAAATATTAGATTTTTGCTTTATATTTACCAAAAATGGTTTTGTTTTTATGTAATAGTTGCAAGCATTTTCTAAATGCAAAAGTTACAGTAAAAAAACTACAACCAAACAGGCACTTAATGAACCTTCTACTTCCTCATAGAATAAGCACAAGCCCAAAAGCTGTTAAAAGATTTCATGATTGCCCTCACTAACAACAATTGAGTCTGATGTTTACAATGCCACTGGCCTGCCTGCAGATGTATGAGTATGCACTTCTCTGAATGCAACAAATGAAATCCTGTGGGGAGAAAAATTATACATGAAATTTTTAAGCAACAAAAGTCTTCCCTATAAATACATTTCCAATTCCGAAAACAATTTCTGTTTTCAACTCAGATTTTACACAAACTGGGGGTTTGCCTCAACAACTATTGGAAATGGTGTATGTTCAAATGTCTTCTCAGTTGCAAATTTTGTACTCAAGATCCTCTTCCGCCTCCTCGTTGCCTCTTCTCTTCTAGTGCTGCAGCTTCATTCAACATGTCAGCAGCATCCTTGTTCATGTCCAATTTGGCAAGTGCAACTGATTGCATGTAGAAGGCCGTGGGCCACTCTGGATAAACACATTGTGCTTGCATTGCATCCCGAAGTGCAGGATCTGGTTGATCACATAAAAGGTAGCAAAGGCTGCGCCTTGCCAAAACAGTTGGTGACACCATGGTTCCAACATCTATGAACTGCAAATCACAAGTAAGTCCAACCCAATTGGGATTCATGTAATGCCTTATTAGGTAAACGATTAGATAAGGGCATACCTTCCCCCGCCCCGCACAAGGAAAACATATTTCTCTCCCTACTGTTAACATTTAGCTTAGAAAACCTAAAAAGAAAATTATCTCTCTTCCCCCTGTTCCCCTGGTAAATTTTTGCTTGGAAAACCTGTTGAGCCACCTAAGCAGCAACCTGTGACCTCCTTCACCCATTTCTTATGGTAATGGCTATCTACATAAAGTGGTATATAGCTATTTTCTATATCTGCAAAAGAACATTTTTTTTACTCTAGATAATAAAGGAGCTTGCCCAGCACAGATCTATATGTGAAAAGGAAAAAAAAAATAAAGATTTTCCAGGCTTTATCTTCTCCCTCCAATCAGCTACATAGAAAATGATTTTTGCTCAAATTATCCCGGTGACCGACAGGGTAAGTTTCACTCACAGAGGCATGGTTTTAGTAAGATCTCAGCCCTAAGAAACTGTACTCATCAACATGTGAAAAGTACAAGATTATACCTGTGAGTAACAATCAATGGCAGTTTTAAAATCTTTATCCCGAAATGCATAGTCACCACGTTTTCGTGCCTCCAGCATATCTCTCATTTGCTGAGTCCATTCTTGGAAAGATAACTGAACCAAGCCACAAAAATAAACTTATTAGCACCCTAAGACTAAAGCAGGAATTTGCAAGCCCATGCATGAGTCATTACCTCATTTGTTCCCTCATCATCCCTGTAGTGGGTCATAACCAAGATTTGATGAATTGCTGTCAGGTCCATCCTTGAACAGGCCTCACCCATTGGTGACAGAGGACGCTGGGGTGTTGATGGTGCTTCCTCGTGCTTTGAGATTCCAAGCATGACAAATGATGGAACCTGTAACCCAGATATACAATAATTTAGTTCTGAAAATGAATCAACAAATGACCTTTTCCTACCATAGCTGGCAAATGTTAATCTTGGAGAATCCTAGTAACAGCCCCAAATGCCCTGTGTTCAAGGTGATCAAGAGTTACCTTAAACAGGTGAAGATCCACATACAATGTAAGGGAGAAAAGTACATGTTACATATTTTAAATTAATCATTAGAACTGGAAAACCTTTTGCCAGTTCCTTCGTAAAAGAAATTATGTTATAAAATTACAGCACGATCTCTTTTTAAACGTATACTAATCTCATTCTCTCCTCATATGTACTTGGATGTATAGAAACTTATGAGTAATGTGACTCCCTTGAAATATATACATGTGCAGATGTTAAAGTTTTTGTGATGGTAGTACAGTTTTCCAATGCTAAATCTGAAATGGGACACAAATTTGCCCAATTAGGAAAGACTAGCAAGTTTCATCGATTGACTTTAAATGCTTCATTTATTATTGTGGCATTCATGGTTTCCGTGCTAACAGTTTGGTGCCTAATACGGATGGCAGTCAAGAGAATTCCCTTTAGTTCGTCATCCCACTTCCCTGTCAAGGTAACAGATGTATTGGTAATGCCACAGGCATTCAACAAATTTCCCGCTTGATACAGAAGCTTCAGTCTATAAGTTAATATTAATGCCAAATGTAATTTAACGCATTTACTAGTCACATCTTGCTCCACTAAGCAATCAAGATAAGTATGGAAATCCATTTGATGAATCCAACCAGAGAAACATAACCATCACAAGTTTGAACCGTTACTCCCTTAACATAGAAGGGACCCCTGCTTGAATTAACCTTATTTAAGTTAAAAGTTACTTACATCAGACTTTGTTTGCAGCGGAGCAAGTGTTTCGACAATATCCCTCGTGCTAGGCCGTTCCCTTGGCTCATACTGCAGACACTTAGAGGCAAGTTCAACAACCACAGTTGCTTCATCAGTGGAGAGCTTTCCCTCCAAATGAGAATCCATTAAGAGCATTATGTTTTTGCCCCGTATCATATCAAGAGCCTGAAATCACAAGCATCACAAGAGTTTTGCGTTGAATAAAACTGGAGCCAAAAAAGGAAGCATATTATAACTGTCTTATTATAACATCTTGCACAGACATAACTGACAAAGGAAAAAAAAACCTTAGATAGCATTTATGTTAGATTATAACTAATAGATTGGGACCTTTACTATTAATTTAAGCTTTTAGAATATTTTGCAACAATCGATTATTAAGTAAATGTTAGCACAAAGTATAATAAATCCATGATTGATCCACGCTCTCGACCTAACATTTGCCATGAAGGAACTTGTTAAAAGAGTATGAATAATATATTGGATTATTCTTACTAGGTTGAGCTTTTGAGATAGTTGGCTGCGAGAAATTATTTCATGTATGTTTCATCAAAAGTATAAGATTTATCACCCAACATTCATGATTATGGCATTATTTTGAATGCCCATATAAATCAAACAACAATGCTATTAGATGTGTATACCACATCTGACATTCATACAACATAAGACCCATCTATGATTAAAGCATAATTAACTTTGGGACACAACTAACACTCTTATATTCCCTGTATATACCTCAGCAACAAAATTAAATTGATAATCTGGTTTAAACCAGATACATGCACAATTTAGAAAAGGAAAACCAGAAATAAAATATATATATATATATGCCATCAGAAGAATAGGCATTTAACCTTTCGACCAATAAGGTCATTGAATATGACTTCTGCATTCTGACAAATACAAGATACTTACGCGGCTAGGAGGTGTATGCTTTCCACTAAGCAAATCCAGGAGGACAGTCCCAAAGCTGTAAATAATACTCTCAGGGGTGACCCTTCCTACAAAATTAATCATGGCAGTGAGTAGAAAGCTCAAATCAAGCACAAAAGGAAGGTGGCCATGCAGCTGAAAGTAAGAAAATGCATGTCATAACTAGTAGAAGAATACAACATGACATATAACAACTAATCATGCTGAAGTAGAAATAATTTTATTTACAAATGAAATATGGGGGAAAAAAGGAAAAACAAAAAGAGAAGACTGCCATAATTTACGTAAGTGAACCTCACACCATTTAGTAAGACAAGTTTTAATATGGAAAGTGCTCAACTAATAAGGAAATCTCAAAACAAGATTTCTAACACCCATAACCTAAGAAACATGAGCCAGGATAGTTAGGACCAGTTTAACAAGAATATATAGCAAAGTAATAACCATTCTTTAAGTACTCAGGAGGCGTGTAAGCAAGATTTGTACTGTAACTTTTTCCATCCCTGCTATTTTTCATCAAGCCAAAACATGAAAGACGTGGATCACCATCCTACAAAGTCCATCAGAAAAATAAGTTCTCACCCTAGGCAAGAATGAACACAAAAGAAAAGAACTAGCAAAGTAATACATTATTAAAACAACAATCTTCAAATTTAAAAAAGATTTACCTCATCAAAGAGAACCCTGTAGGCATTTAAATCATGGTACAACGGACGACCCTCGCTATTACAATAATCTAAGGCTTCAGCTATGTGAAAAGCTACCCTCAATCGCATTGCCCACTCAATTGTTTGATTCTCCCCTGTGAAGAATGAAACAATCAAACAACTTCATTACAAAATAAACAGAAAATGACCCAGATCCGGACAAACTGAAAACATGAATTGGGGGGAAACAAAAAACCAAGCATGATAAATTGAAAATTATCCAAATTCAGACCCCACGTGATAAATTAAGAATGAAGTATCATAAGCAAAAACGTAACACGGATTGTCTCATGCAGATCCTCTACAGGTATGAATACGACAAGAATAACAACGGATCTAAGCATTTACGCAACCAACATCAAGAACTTTAATTGGCTGCATAATATTTTAAATAAACAAAAGTGGATGATGATACTCTCTGAAGTTGACACTCCTTAAACAAAAATCCACAATAATGCAACTGCTAGATACCTAAAAAAAATCTATTAATCATTAAATAAAAATGCACTTGCAAGTATATAAGCTGAAGAGAAATTCCAGTGAATCTCTGGGAATACTGACCCCAGATAAAATACTCCGATTACGCCATTAATATCAAAGATATAGCTTATTCAAGTTTCAAATGAATAAAGTTAGCTTACATTTTAAAAGATGGATGTCAAATATTTTAAGAAGCAAGAAACCGTAAATGTTCTACAGGAAGACTAAATCAGCCATCACATAGACTGTAAAAGGCTAACAAATCTGGAAAAGGAAAAAAAAAAAAGGAACCTTAGGAATCAACCAACTTCCAGGACTAACTTCTGAACCAAAGTAGAAACTCAAGGCAAAAAGTAAACTAGACCAAAAAAACTATTCAGCCAATCAATTCGTGTCATAAACCAACAATGCGGTCCCTAGTTCACACCATGTTCTTATCAAAGATTCTGAGAGACCACGTATCTCAAGGTTCAAGAGAAAAAATCCATCTAAAACATCATAAAAAACCTATAGACCAACAAAACCCACTCTGGCATTCTTTGCATTGACCTAAAAGCTCCACCAAGATTTAGTGAACAAGAGAGTCAAATAAGAAAAAAATATTCTAATACATACAGTGAAACAAATGCTTGGAAAGAGTATCATTAGGCATGTACTCAGCAACGAGCAGCCTTTCATCCTCATCACAGCA